CCCCAAAACCCCAAAACCCCAAAACCCCTCCATTCTCACTAAAATTTGAAACATTTTGTTTTTATCTGCTATTAATCTGAAACCTTAGGCTCTGCAGTGTCAGTCATGCAATTCTCACTTTCAGACTCCTTTTGGTCAGTTTTTGCTTCTTTTCCTTCTGGCTCTTCAGGGAGGAGGAATTCTTCTTTAGAGATACGCTTAAAATTCTCGAATAAATCATAAGTATCATCTATTATCTCATCAAACTTAATGAAAAAGCTATACAGAAGATCTAAAGAAACAAGACATTTTGTCTGAAGATCTAGTCCCTTAAGATGTTCATCTACTAAATCTCTAATCTCTTGATCCATTGTCAAAATGTCATCTAATCCCGTTCTGAATGGATACTTCCTAACCTCTTTCAAACTCCTCTCTATTCTCTTAATCTTGTTCATGTTTTCCTCACTCTTAGAGTTATACTCAAATCCTTGTCTCAGGAGTGCGCTTTCGGGTACACTTCTAATCATCTCAGCCATATCTTCCCGGTCAATTTTGTCTATCTGGTTAGCTTGAAAGACCTCGTCAAGCATGATTCCATAACCCCTGCACTTGTCATACATATAGCCCCACACATCATCTAGCATTTCCTGGTTAAATCTTTTGTACCCTCTGATGTCCATTTCAAATAATTTGTACTCATAAAATAGAGAGGGGAACTCGTTCACATCAGAGAAGTGGGCTATCCACTTAAAAGGATCTATACTGTTTCAAACAATGATTACCTAGTGCTAGGAGATACGTGGATACATAATATTCAGGAATTATGAGGGCTATCTCAAGCACATATTTTAGTGTTATAAAAAGGTCCCTGCTATGCTTATAGTTTTTAACTTTAAAATATCTTTCTGCAATCTTCTTGACAATCTCAGTGCATTCTTCAAGGTTCTTGTCTGGGACTGGAGTACTGCCTATAGATTGGTAAAAATAAAATACTGAAAAGTGGTCCAATTTTATCAGTAAGATCAGCAAACACTGGCCTTTTCTCAGTATCAGAATCGGCCTCATCGCTACTCTCGCCCTCAGAAACTTCTTGTTGATTCTTATCTGATGTCTGAATAATAGCCTCATCATCCTCATCATCTTTGGATACAGCGTCCATTGAAACATCAGAGGCCTCTTCTAATTGCCCATCTGCTGGTAGTTCGCTTTCAGTTTGCTTCTCTTGTTCACTTGTTTCTAATTGGATATTCTCAGTGCCTTCTGCATGTTTCTCACAGTCCTTCTTATTTCCATTGACAGTTGCCAACTCAGTTTGCTCAGAACTCATAAATACTTATAAATGTTGCCTATTTTTCGAATTTTGGGGTTTTGGGGTTTTGGGGTTTTGGGGTTTTGGGG